TGCTGGGACTCCCAGCAGCTTCTACTGAAGCCTTCCGAGTAAATCGCCAGAACGCCGACACCTCCTCATCTCCACCGCTCCCATGTTTTCTCTTGTGTTGCCATAAGTTAGTCTCTCTGCGTTTGTGCGCTGGGCTAATGCTAATAATAATAATGCGAGGATAATAAAATGGCAGCTTCACAAAACTTTTTGGGAGTTTTACGGGAAGTGGTTTGCAATCCGCTCAGCCAATGAGAAATAGGAACCTTTTTCTCCCACGAAAGTCCCTGACGGAAAAGGGGGTAAAAAGGTTCTGATTAAATCATTTGAGTTCCGGATTTTTTTGGTGTGAACGCAACATTTCGGAACTATATCGGAACTAAAGTGGGAAAAGTACTTCGGTGTGAAAGCGCCTTATGAGACAGTCTGGAAATAAATCTGAACCTGTCCCTTGATTTGTGTGTTTCAAGAGCAGAGAAACTGTAAAACTGACCCAGTGTTGGACTGCCAAGTCCTCCGAAGGCACTAGAACCAAGGGCCCCAAGTGGGGTGAAGGGTGGGGATCGGCCATACGGATCTAAACAAAAACGCAAGTACATGTCAGCAAAAAGCGTTGATACAAACGTTTCTGCGAAAGCAACAGTCGGTATGGAGACTGGATATTTACGAGAGGTTAAAGCCAACGTAAAAATCTGGAGTTGTGAATTTTAGTAACAGACATGTAATTTGTTGTAGAGTGGACCTCAGAGGTGTCTTTGGAAGCAGCTCTTACCTAAGTGTGCAGTTGGCGGGAGGAAAGAGGAGTGGGGCGTTGATGGAGAGATGAAGGGAGAGGAGGACGGATTGACTGCCCCAGGGGAAGAGAAGTATTAGTAAAACAAATAAAACGTCACCAGTCACCACACATTAAATCAAGTTAACAGAGCTACTGCACACTTCATGCAGTGACTCAGCATAGCGGAGCAGTCAAACCTCTGGAATGTGAGGACACGACGAATCAAAAAGCAAATGAGGTTTTTAAGAAATTAGGCAAAATCATATGTGCAGATTCAAAATTGATTTTACATCGCACACACAGTTGCACAGACCGAACAAACAGTGTTGCAACTTGGCAGCATTCCTGCTGGATTAAAGGACTTTTCAGAAAAAAAAAATTAGAATTATATTTCTAAAACTTTGATGGCGAAACATTTAGGAATTATTCAGACCATGAGGAAATAAGTTAGAAATAAATAATATTGTGGTTCAACCCATTTGTGTCTACCTCTCTGCTTTGTCAGTAGGTGTGGGCCAGGCAAGAGGATGCCACAGAAGGTTAATAATGAAACAGTTTATTTATCATCTATTTAGAAGAATCTGAAGGTGTGTTTATTATTAGTTTTGTATAAAAATAGATGAATAAATATATAGTTTTAGACAGACAATAGATAGAATACCTATTATAGAGAATAGACTCTCTAAAATTAGCCTCAGACACAGTGCAGAATAATATTTATTCGGAATATTCCTATGCGTTATTACTGTTTATACATCATTCTCATACTTAATGGACATACACTTGACTTTTTCATTAAAAGCCAATGTTTGTGTATGCTGTTAATTGTTGTTCTAGAAAGACAATTCGTGATCAGGAGGTCAAACTTTGAATACATCGGTATCTGCGGGGAAAAATTGCAAACACTGCATCTCTAGTGCAGAAGGGAAATACCAAAAAACAACACCAAGGAAAATAAATCACAGCACAGAACTCAACTAAAAGTTTCAGGTCAAAAATACATTCTCATTCTGTCAGCTGTCCTTATGAAACAGAAATGTTTAGAAATGCACCTGCTGCTGAGAACAGACTGGGAGATCTGGTCAGATCATGAGTGGGAGGCATGGCTCCTCCCATCGGTCCCAGGGAGCCCATTCCCCCAGCTCCAGGAAGACGGGTCAGCAGGTCACTACGGAAGTCCAACTTGTGAGGATCAACGTGCATCAGCTGAAAGACATGAAAGGAATGGTTAACCAGGCATATAAAAAGGACTCACTTGATATTATCCTGCCTACTGAGTGAATATCACTGGGACTGAATTGAATAGGATTAACAATCTGGGAAATTAAAACACAGGATTTCAATAAGAAACACATACCTTCACTTTTTTCTGATGGCTTAGAATCATCCAGGCCACATATACATGCATAGCACACCACTTTCCTGGTTTCTGCACAGCAAAAAGATGCAAATAACAGGGGTTTACCGTTTTATTCCACACATGTTCATCTTTAAAAGCACAGAGTGAGATGGTCTTCTTGTTGTTCAGATATCTCATCTATCCGCTACAAAAGGTTGGTGTTTTCCAGCTGGAGATAAAGTTACCCTCTAGAGATTGGTATACATTTGGGAATAGTACAAACAAGTGAGTGAAAAATGCAAAAGCAAGAAAAAAATGATCACAGGGGAAAGAGCTATCACATACATTATTCATAGGGTTATGTCTGGCGTCTGAAGCATCTAACTAGGTGTGTGAGGTTAGAGAACAGACCAGCAGCAGTCAGTGTTACAAGTGAGATTAGGGCAAGGAGTGCGTGAAGCAGTGAGAAAGTAAAACAGGCTGAAGCTTTTAAGAGCCAAGGGATTAAAGAAACATCAGTTGTTGCTTACATTATTACTCATTTTCAACGGTGTCCCAAATGGATCAGTTAGCTACAAGAAAACAGAAGTGTGAAACCACTTGTAATGCACATTTACTCACTCTTCATCAGGAGTAATCTGCACTGCTCTGACTAAGCCTCTGTTGCAGCATATCTAAGCCTAAACTTTGATCTATACAGTCCTTTGAAAACAAAAGGAAGCAACTCTAGAGTGATGATGCAAACTTCAGGTTCACAGCAAGCATGTTGTCCTTACCCTGGGGTCTTTGGGCTGCAGGTGGTGGGGCACAACTCCGAGTCGTGCAGATAAATCTGGACCCGCTCCCTGAGGAAGAAGAGGCTGTCAAAAACATAGCACAACACATGAGCCCTGAACTACGTCTACAATTTATCTTTTCTTTATCCGTGTCAATTTTCTTTTATACTTCAACTGAAGCTTGAAGGGCCAAGAGCAGAGTAGAACATCACATAATCAGGAATCAGCTTTTTGAGGTAAGTAATAATATGAGATTATCAGGGTAGAGTCAAAGATGAATAGCGTTAGGATTTATTGATGGTCCTCTTAGGTTTTGTTCTTTATCGGTACTCTTATCGGTTCTAAGAAAATAATTTCTCTATACAAATATTTATAGGGGCCTTATTGTGTTTAGGAAAGAAACTCCCTCTGGTTTGTCATTTTAGCCTTTGCAGACCATTTACATGCATACAAATCTATATAAAACACTGCAGGAAGGGGAAAACCGCAAAAAGTATAGAAAAAGGGCCCCTTCAAAATAGAATAAGATTAGAAGGTATTTAAACAAAACTACATGTTTCTATAGCAGCAACAGTAATGTTTACAGTGGGAAATTATTTTAACAATATATTAATGGAAAAAAATCTAAAATGTCAAAGAAAATACGAATTATGAACAAAGACATGAGTCAGTATCAGTCGTTTCTCCTCCCTCTGCGGATATGAATCACTGCCTGCAGGTACCGCTGGTGCAGGGAGGAGGGGCTGCTAGGTTTCAGCCACCCGAACGATTTACATTTACATATTTGCATATTTGCCGTAAACTAAGCTTGTTTTAGCTCGTTTTTAACCATTCGTAATATGTCAAGATGGCAGGTTGTGCTTGTGTAAAACATAACCCAGTGAATTGGAATATGGATTTTCCACATGTTTATGCTCGTTGAACAGGTGTATTGTTAAAGTATTGGCTTTTAACTCATAAAGATCTTATTGGAGTGACAAAGAGAACATATAAGAGGCTACCACAAAACGTGATAATAAATTCACCCAAAAATGTAAAGTAGGGATAATATAAAGCTTTATTAGTTTAGGCCAAAGCCCTTATTTTTTAAAACCGATTGGGTACACCATTTGGAGCCTTGTGGCACCCCTGCTGTTTGAGGACCAATCCTTTTTCTGGAGTTTTCTGTTCACAATGTTAAAACAATAATTAATAATTGCATCAGCTAATGTGAGGTTTCCCCTGACCTCTAGTTGCTGCTCAGGAATAAGTGATGCAAAGATGCAGAGAGAGTTTTTATATACCTTTGGCTGAAATGCTCCTTGCAGAGAGCTGAACGGCCCAGTGGGAGGAATCACAGGCTGGATACTGGGCACTGAGGGCGGTGGGTATTGTGGGAAGAACTGCCATGACACAGACACACAGTTTAGTGATGATTGAACACATTAATGAAATCAGTACATTTGTACACTTTAAATGTTTACATTTTTATTCAAATGTTTAAGCCTCATTGTTCTATGATTTTCAACACTAATCTGTCATTTATCACCAACATTGGTAAGATTCGACAAAGTACTCACGGGGTGTCGATACAGCCCGTCCACTTTGCCTGCAAACTTATCGAACTGAAAGACAAAAGGCAGTGCGTGGGTTAAAAACTCGTAAAAATTGAACACATTCCAGCCACGCAGGAATTTCAAGTACGAAGCAACAACAGAGAGCATCTCACCAGAGGCGGCGCGGTGGCTGTGGGGTGCAGGAAGGGTGTGAAGTGTTGGTGCGTGTGTGTGTGTTGGTGCTGGTGGTTGTGCTGATGGAACTGGAAGGCCAGAGGCGGGATGCTCGTCTGGTTCGCCGACGACCGGCCTGATGAACCTGGGCCGGAGTTGGATGCCGACGGACCACCAGGAGTGGAGCGGCCAGCAGCTGCTCCGCTGTTTTCAGCCCCCGGGACACTGCGTCTCCCCTCGCGCTCTTGTGAATTCAAGAAGTGGGAGTTTAGGTTTTGACGAAGTAATTCTTGGTCTACATTGGGAGTAAACAGAAGTAAAGAAAATATATAATGTGATCACTTGGCAACAAAACACCATAAATTGGCTTTTAAATTTTAGTATAAGCATATATCTTCGTAACCTTTCTAGCAGGTATCTGAATAATACTTAATAAAACTGAATAAAACGTTTAGAACTCACTCTACTCCATTTTTACATGTGTTTTAATTTATTGTCTAAAATGGCTGTCTATATTAAAACTGGCCTTGCAATAAATTATATATTTAGTCAATTCCAAGTAAAACATTGATTTGTATTAATTCTGGGTTCTTAATGTCTTCCTAATACCTGTACTTGAAATACTTGTTTGACTGTTTGTTTCACTCTGAAAACCCAGATTAAAAGAGAAGATAGAGAAGAAATGCCAATATTATTACATTATTTTGCGTGCTTTGCAAATTTAACAAAACAACAATACCATATTTGGACATTTCAAAGCGGCTTCCTATTCAGTAAACAGATACAGTACAAAATGCAAGTTCTGACACGATCAGATCTCAGTTCATCAATATGCAACTTCCTCAACCCCCCCAGACAACCACCAGAGGAAGTCAGGGTTTGGTTTCTTTTAGTCACATATTAGTCATTCAGTTCCCATGAAAATCTGCAACGGACTGTGAAAGCAGTAAAAAAATAAGCATTCCTTTTGACTGTACCTGCTACTGTTGAGTGGCCAGAACCTTGTAGCAGAGGTGGAGGGGGAGGAAGACCAGGTGAGGATGTGAACAAGGCCCCAGAGCCGGCTCGGGATGGGGGTCTGATGGGCCCTGGGGGTCCTGAGCCCCTGGTGTAGGGCAGTGACACACTTGTGGAGGGAGTCGGAGGGCGAATGGAGGATGAGGAAGACGCAACAGATGCAGATATGGGAGGTTTGACTGTGCCGTTGCCCCTGAGAAGAAAGAAAGCTAATTAAAGAAATACCCCAACACACATTACAAAAAGAAAAAGCACTTTCATGATACCTTTTCACAATTCACATACCTGTATATGGAGTGAGACCGTCCAGGCAAAGTGAGGAAGGGTTTGGGTTTGGAGAGGGGCGGGCTGCCGTTGTGCCGGCTGCCGTTTCCGTTGAACGGGCTGGAGCGGGGGGCCGTGCCGGGGGCTGTGATGGGGGAAGGCAGACGAGAGAAGAGGGCAGAAGAGGTAGAAGAAGCAGGCTCTAGGAAGTGTTGCTCCAGGTTTTTCTCCTGACTTCGCTCTAGGCCAGATACTCTCGGGGTCACCATCAACCGTGAGATGCCACCAATACGGGCCGGGAGGGGCGGGCAGATTTTGCCCATGGATGTGGCCATGTTTGACGGGGCAGGCTCCACAACTGAAAAGAGAACATCAGTCAGCATTTTGCTGTTCCTGTATGCTAAAGCATAGAGTGACACACCAAAGGGTGAGAAATGCTAATTATACAGAGAGGGACCACAAACCCACAATTAGAAGAAGTGCTTAAGAAGTCTTCAAAGGTTCATATTTTAGCTCTTAATACATTTTCAAACAAAGAAAAAAAAAGAGACTTAACCCAAATCCCAAGGAAGGTCAGAGCTCGTTTGAAATAAACCCAAAAAATAAGTCAAATGAAAATTGGATAATTTAAACTAGTGACAGAAAATCCCAAGTCATTGTTGACATAAACCACACCAAGGACTGACAAACAATATGGGGTCTACATAGGGGTGGGCGATATTGAAAAAGATAATATCACAATATTTTTCAAGCAGTATCACGATAGGCGATATTTATCATGTTATTTTTCATGTCGGTTATTATGGTTATTTTTCAAGTTACTTAACAGTACAACCACCTACAAGTAGGGATGGGTATCGTTAAGGTTTTAACGGTACTACTACTTTTATCGATACCGCTTATTGGTCCGGTCTTTTAACGGTACTCTTATCGGTTCTTTTGGAGAAAAAAAATGAGGTAAACCAACTATATGTTGTATGTCAGGGACTATGGATAGAAATTAGCTCAAAGCTAAAATCCGGCATATTTACACTTGAAGCATTATTTGTCTAAAGTGTTCATTAATGTGCAGTGTCCCTATTCAAATAAACGATTAAATGAAATGAAAATGAAATCTTACAGTTGCAAGAAAAAGTATGTGAACCCTTTGGAACTACCTGGATTTCTGCATAAATTGGTCATAAAATGTGTTCTGATCTTCAT